ATACTTTTAATTAATTCAATATCGTTCTGCCGTTAAGTGCGTGTCACGCAATCTTCATTATGCAGCGACACCCAGCGGCAGGTGTCAGTCACTACCGAAGGTGCGACACGCACCGCGACAACTGACACAAGACGCAGTCCATTGACATGTGTCACAGGTTTTAGAGACACATGCCACCGGAAGTGTCACTTAGCATAGCGGCATGTGCCAATGGCATCTGTGCGTCAGATGTCATGTCACTTAATGTTAAAACTGCTGCTGCTCAAACGGTTCAGAAAGCCTCTTCCTTAATATACAATATTTTTACAAAAACAGACAATTACACCTCCTAAAACACATTTCTACAAATTCAAAATCAACTTTTCATTTTCTCCAGTTTTACAAAGAACTCCTCCCGCTGACCAAATTTCAGAAAACATTACAATATAATTGACCAATTTATAATATTTATACTTAATTCTAGCAGTTACCATCCCTTTTATTACCATCTTAGCATTTATTGGACCCATACCCAACATTTAACTTTTTATAGTTTTCCATATAGACATCTAAGCTGACCCCAGCACAAAATTCAGTAAACATTTTTTCCTCCTTTCCTGAAAAATGTATTTCGGACCACTTATAAAATTCTGATAAGAAAATGTTTCTCCAAACTTTGTAAAACATTGTGTTAAATTAAAAAGTCCCTTCAACCTAAAACAATCAATAAACAAATGATTCACCATTTCTTCAATCCCACAAAATATGCACTCTTTCCCCACTGCTGGATTCAGGTGTGCCACGTGTCTGTTTCGTAGCTATAGCCCCGAACATCAATCTCCACTGCAAGTCTGCCATACGCTTCTCAATCGGCAAATTACACAAAGACCTCCAGCATGCCTTAACGTTTGTCCCAAACACATCTGACCACCTCCAAGTCTTTACTCCTCTTAGCACATTCTGATGAGTGACTTTTACTTATAAAGCGCTTTCTTCTTAATGTCCTGAAAAACTCCCAACTCGGGGGAACTCAAATGATAAAACTCAATGTCCAGCATCCTCATTATCTTCCTGTACAACAGCAGGAACTTTAATGGGTGGAAATTTATAGTCCCCATGCCAATCCTGTGACAGTGCTTCTCTACAGGCACCTGGTAGAACTGCCCACACCTCCTCCATTATTCTTCTCAGAAGCCACAGAGATCGAAACCCAGTAACGCTCTCCATTGTCTCAGCTGTTTTCCAGCCATCACCACTTCTTAGATCCCCCAACTTGGTATACCCAGCCTTCACAAAACAGCTTTCCACAGATTTAGACAATAAAACCTTTGTTCTTATTAATGGATTATCCAGTCCTCAGGTTGTAAAATTTCTCTGTGTATAAAAAATGTCTTCTTCCAAGCTATTATCATTGACTTATAAAAATGTTAAATCCTTCAGATCTAATTCATTAATAAAAAAGGCTGTTTATCATACAATAAACCAGATGCTTTCCATTGAAGAGCGCAAGCAACATTAATCCACCCAACATTCTCTTCATACAACAGTCTCTTTGCTGCTTGTAATGGAAAGGCATTTATGCAGCTTCGTACATCTATCAGACTTCGCCCTCCTTCATGTACTGGTAGATAAAGTATAGGCCCAGGAATCCATTTTTGACCAGACCAGAAAAAAATCCACCAATTTCCTCTCAATGTTCTTAATCAAGTCATCCGGTGGCTCAAGTACGTTCAGTCTGTGCCATAATATAGATGCAGTCAGATTATTTGCAATTATAGAATATAATATATATATAATATAGAATTTATTGACTTTGACTTGAATTTATTGACTTTGACTTGAATTTATATGAATGACCTTAAGACACAAAATTAGTTTAAAGGGGTGCTATTATGCTTTTTCACTTTTTCAACTTTAGTTAGTCTGTAATGTTGTTGTTTGAGCATAAAAAAGATCTGCAAAGTTACAAAGCTCAGAGTCCAATTCAAAAGGAGATATTTTATTTAACAGAAATCACTTCAAAAACTACAACGAACGACTCGTTTGGACTACAACGCATATTTTCCGGGATTTGTGATATCACAAATATCGACG